CACACACACACACACACACACACACACACACACACACACACACACACAGATTTTTTGTTTTATGGTTAAATTGTAATCTCCCTACTGTTGTGATTGATTATAATAGAGAATCAATAAGTCTCTAGCTAAACACACATTGAATATTTTCATATCTTAGCTTTGCAGGAACTCGTGTCTGAGGTCGTATTCACACCTGAGAGTCTGGCAGACTCGGTTCTATTGGGGACCAAAATTGTAAGATTTGTTTATATTCTCAGTTGGTGCAGTTAACATTTACACTGCTCTGTGTCAAACAAACTAAACCCTGTGAACAGGTGGACAGAGAACAGGTGCACCACGAACCACTGAAGGAAACAACACAAAAACCTCAGAAGAAGACATGGAGGCTTTCACGTTTCTTTCAGTTCAGCACTAGAACATTTTTAAGAAATGCATTTATTTGTTTACCTACTGATGCATAAAAAAGTTTGTTATAGCAGCAGCTTGTCACAAAGACAATCTCATTCCAGTTTATTTAGTTGAATCTGAGGAAAACAACAAAAATGGCACTGTTTGACAAATTAGTGATTTAGCACAAGCAAGGTGATTCTCAGAGAGCTAAATTGAAAATAAATAAATAAATAAATAAATAAATAAATAAATAAATAAATAAATAAATAAATAAATAAAAAAAATAAAAGAGCAGCCAAAGTCTGAAGGACCTTGAGAAAACCTGAACTATTGACTATTATTACTTTCAAAACATTACAAGAAAGTTTAACTTCTTGGAAGCAACCAGGATTTTAGATATCTTTGCTTTGATCATAGAATAATATCTGGTTAGATGTATTAAAATGTAAAACTCAAAACTAAGAAGCGACATTATTTGAAGCTGTGACTTTTGCATCATGAAAAAACACATTTTTCTGCAGACTAACAGCAGTCAACTAACTGCAGTCAATATCTCTCTGACTCAGCCAAACTCACCTGCGGAGTTCCACAGGGTTCCATCCTGGGCCCACTTCTATTCCTGCTCTACATCCACCCCTGACTGAGGTCATCAAAATTTTCCCAGACATCTACCATTTCTATGCAGATGACCTGCAGTTATACTGCTCCTTTAATGACTCCACCACCCACAAGCTCACCTCTCTTATAAAATGTGTCACAAAAG